GGTGGGGGTTTGCTTGGAATTGTTCTTAATTTTGGAAATGATGTAAACAGAGAGAGGTAAGTCTGTCCCTGAATATGAATACATGTTTAGCTTAATAATATTTCTTTATAGTTCCCATTTGTTTAGAGATTGTATTCTGTTTCCCAGGCTCAGAAAGACTTGTTAGAAATACTCTAATCCTTTCTAAATCAGGTGTCTGTGCACCTATTTCCATATAGATATCTTAGGAGCATGAGTGATAATTTATTCTCATAATCTGCCTACAAAAGAAGGTGGTTCCTCCTTCCTGTGCCAGCCTTGCCCAGATGAAAGGGCCAGAGCCTCCTGCATGCTTCTGAGGCCAGCTGTGGGAAATCAACTGAGATTTTTGAAGAGAAATAAGCCTTTTTAGTCTTTGAAGAAATATCTGTAGAACCCACACTCTGGTAGACAACTTCCAGAGGTCACTTAATTCTGCATGGAGTTTCTAACTCAACATGTATATATGGGTCATGTTTCTTCCTCTGGAAAGGCAGATTTGACAAGTTAATATTATCTCACAGAACACACACTCTTCATATGAGAGGTGCTGTAGTGATTCAGAGTTGTTTTTCAAGGGTTCGTGGGCTAGACTGGAATCTCTCACATGCAGGAAGAACATTGATGAGGCATCCATCCTGTCTGACCTCAATCCTTCCTGCAGCCTTGAAGCCCAATATTCCTGAGTTGAACTTTAAAACCTGCCCCAGGTTGGAGATTCTTGCTCCACTTTCTGCAGGCTAAAGAAGTAAGATTCTTCTAATTGTTTTTCATCTGTGATGGTTTTACAAGTGAGGAAGAGCTTATAAGTCTCTTTTACAGTTCATTACAACTGAGAAACCTTATTTAGTCAAAGAAAATTGTCCTTTGGGGAATGATTAGAATTTGCAAGGAGTAAAATCTTTTGGGAGTAGAAAACATTCTCTGCATGGTACAGAAAACAAAAACAAAATCCCCAAACCTACTCCACAATACAATTTCTCATTAAGTAAATGAAATGGCCTTTTCCTTTTCTCAACTCAACCCTATGAGTTTTAATCAATTTAGTTTCTGCTCTCCTGTCCTTGTTTTCTATTTTTCTCCAGTGGATGACTTCTGGTTTCAGTACCATAAAAGGATAGACTTTCTAAAAGTTGGAAAATCCAAAGTTAAAATATATAGCCTTGAATCATAGTTATTAAAAGTTCCTATGCAGTGTCTTAGATGGGTGAGATCAAGCAAGTCAGACTCAAAAGGGGATTGAACTCTTCTTACCAGGAGAAATTAGCATCCTGTTATCTATAAATAGGTCATCCCCATCAGAAATCATCATAGGCGTGACCTTTGTAGTCATCACTGACATAATCTTTATTTCCAAAATCTTTTTCTACTCCTGTAGTTCATCCTGGCCTCTTCTGGCTTGAAACAATCTCTTTCAGGAACTTTGGAGTCCATAATCTTGACTTCTTTACCAAGGCAGCTCACGTTGCTTCTTTTTCTGGTCTTGACTATATTCAAATTCCACTGTCCTAACTAAATACTATCACGTAGATAAAAGTAAAGGGATTTCTAATATCAAGAGGCTCAGAGATGTAGCCCTGATATGATGTGCTCAATCATAGGAGGAGTAGCAGGGAATGAAGGGGCTGTGTAGAGTTTCTCAACACTTCATGGAAAGTTAGAATATCTGCCTGAATTCTCCATGTGAGGTCTAATAAATTTTTCTGATCAATTGTACATGTGCTAAACGATAATTTGAAGCATGTTTGAAAGATACGGTTCTATGTTTAGGCAGTTTTGACAGTCATTTATTATAAATACCGTCTTGGTTTATGTCACTCTCCCTAAACTAAGTTTGAGGTGCAAAATTCTGGTTTTGGATTCTGAAGGCTTGCTTTCCAATGCTCTCTCTGTGGCAATCAATTGTGTGATCTTTGGTAAGTCATACAGTGGCTCTGGGACAATTTCACATTTGAAAAATGTGGAAATAGGGCTGGGTGACCAAGGAGGGAGTTAAAGAGCTAGGCAAGCACAGTGTTTTACACTGATTGTCCCAGGATAAGTTTATAGACCTTGTTGGGCTTCAGTTTCATCAGGACATTTTAGTGAATGACAGCTTTCTGTGCTCACCCCAACAAGTCCTATTCAGTAGTGTTTGCAGGGAGAAGCAGTCCAGTTGCTCATTTAATCAGTCAAGTTGCTTATTTAATCAGTGTGTTAGGTGATTTTGATGTTCAGGGTCCTCACACCATACCTTGAGAAACTTACCCAGGGAGGTATAATTCAGAGTCCCAGAGAACCTCTCCTTTCCATCCCATCACTAGCACTAGAAAGGTCTTTGAGGGGTACAAAGGGAAGACTTCTCATTGGGCTTAAAGCCCAAATGTCTGAGATAAAAGCAATCACACTAATGAATAACTAACAAGCATGGGTCCTTTCCAGATCAGGTTTTGAAAAGGCCAGTACAAACCAGCTGTGGCCAGTCAATACTAGCCTAAACTAGTTGGGCCATCACAGCCTATTTAAACTGATTGTGATCAGTTGAAACTACTCTACACTGATCAGGTCCATCCATGACTAGTCAGAACCATCATAGACTGATTGTAGCTGGTCAAAATCAGTTGAAACCAGTTAGGTTCGGCCATAGCCAGTGTAAACCAGCTGTGACCCAGTAAAACTGGTCAAAACAAATTGGAACAGGCAGTAATGGAGCAAAACCAGCATAAATCTGTTGTGCCCAGTTCAAACCACTCTAAACTGGTCATGCCCTTTAATAACCATTAGAAACTGGTGTTATGGGCCACTTAATACTGGCCTAGACCAGTTGCAGCCAGTCAGAACAGGTCTAAACCATTTGTGGCTAGTTATAACCAGTCAAAATGGTAAGAGCCTGCCATGAACAATCAGAACCAGTATAAACTGGTTGTAACCAGTCACAGTTGAACCTAGCTGAAACCAGCATCAATATTTTGCAGCTGGTTTGCCAGGCGCAGTGGCTCACGCCTGTAATCCAAGAACTTTGGGAGGCTGAGGCGGGTGGATCATGAGGTCAGGAGATTGAGACCGTCCTGGCTAACATGGTGAAATCCCCTCTCTACTAAAAATACACAAAATTAGCCGGGCATGGTGGTGGGCACCTGTAGTCCCAGCTACTTGGGAGGCTGAGGCAGGAGGATGGCGGTGAACCCAGGAGGCAGAGCTTGCAGTGAGCTGAGATCGCGCCACTGCACTCCAGCCTGGGCGACAGAAGGAGACTCCGTCTGTCTGTCTCTCTCTCTCTCTCTCTCTCTCTCTCTCTCTCTCTCTCTCTATATATATATATATATATATATATTTGGTGAAAAGTGGTCTAAAGCAGTTGTGGCCACTTGAAATTGGTTAGAATCATCAATGACTGATTGAAACCCAGCAAAACTGGTTGTGGATGGTCTATGCAGGGTTTAAACCAGTCATAGCCAATCATAGTTGGTTCAGGCAAATTATGGCAGGTCAAAATCAGCCAAAACCAATTGCAGCTGATCAGAGGCAGCCTAAACTGGTTGAAGTTAGTCTAAACTGGTCAGAACCTGCCATGACCAGTCAGAATAGGCATAAACCAATTGCAGTTGGTCAAAATGAGTAATGAGTCAAAACTGATTGAGGCTGGGCATAGGTGGTCTAAAACAGTTGTGGCCAATTAAAATAAGTTGTGACCAGCCACAACCAGCTTAAATTGTCTACATCCAGTCAGAACTGGTTTGAACTTATTATGGCCTGTTGAAATCAGTCAAAACTGCTTGAATAAAAAACCACGACCAGTGAGAAACACAGAAATAAACCAGGGCCACTGAAAATTGGCCTAAATCAGTTATACCCTGTTAAAGCCAGTCTAAACCAGTTGTGGCTGGTCATAATAGGTCCAAACTGGTTTGGGACAGTCAAAACTGGTCTAAACCATTTGTAACAGACCATGACCAGTCAGAAATGGCCAAAATCAACTGTGGCTGGTAAAAATCAGCCTAAACCAGTTGTTCCATATTCAATCTGTCTAACCCTGTCATGGTTGGTCATATGAATCCAAACTAATTGTGGCCAGAAGAAACCAGCCTAAACAGATTGTAGCCAGTTAGAGTCAGCGTAAATCATTTGTGGCCAGTTAAAACTCATCTAAATCAGTTGGAAATAGCCCAGACCAGAAAGAACTGGTATAAACAGGTGGGGACCGGTCACAACTGGTTGAAGCTGATCTCGGCCAGTTTAGACTAGCTTTTAGCTAGTTTCTCCTGGTTTTGACTCATTATGTATGGCTTCAACGTTATGATGGGTAGTGTCCAGGGATAAACAGCAGTGTCCAGCGCTGACTGCTCATGACTGTTCATAGAACAGTGGCAGCACATGATGAACAGCAAGCCATAGATTACTGGAGTTCCTCAAATTAAAAATAAACTTTTGTGAATTGTGGTTTTGATTTGCCTATACATTGTGAGTAATGATGCTGAACATATTTTCATGTGCTTCTTGGACATTTACAAACTGTTTTTGTAGAAATGGCTACTGAAGTCCTTGCTCAATGTTTAAAGTAGTTGAAACTGGCTTTGTTGCTTCTTGCTTGTGCAGAAGCTTTTTCGCTTTATGTGATTCCATTTGTCAAATTTTGCTTTTGTTGCCTGTGTTTTTGAGGTCTTACTCCAGAAATCTGTGTCCAGAACAATATTCTGGAGTGTTTCTCCAATGTTTTCTTCTAGTAGTTGCATAGTTTTAAGTCTTAAATTTACAGCCTCAATCGATTTTCATTTGTTTATATGACAAGAAATAGGAGTCTACTTTCATTCTTCTGCATAAGGATATCCAGTTTTCCCAGTGCTATTCATTGAAGAGACTATCCTTTTCCCAAAGTATGTTATTGATGCCTTTGTTGAAAATGAGTTAACTGTATATTTGTGAATTTATTTCTGGGTTCTCTATGTTTACTTTTTTATTTTTTTAAATGCCCATGCATGTTTTATTAATAAAAACTAACAGTGTCAAGTTAAACAAGTCAAACAATGAAAGTCTTTTTTTATTCCATAAAATATCGCAGAAAAGTTTGTGTTTCAATAAAAAGACTCATTCTAGAACAGGTAGCTAATGTGCAGTTAATGGGTTTTGTGAATAAATTTTAAGAGACTACTGCCTGTCCTTAAATTTGTCTTTTTATATAAAAAAAGAACTATTAAAAATGACTGGCATATTTTGAGTTAAAAATTGTTAAAACATTCCCTATATTTAATTTCAATTTTATAATAGATTACAGAAGATGCTTATGAAACAAACACAACATTTGTTTCAGTACGTGTCTTTAAATGATAGACTTGTAAGTATGTAAACAACTATATAATAAAAGGGTTTCAAACGCTGCCTGTAAGAAATCAGGCAAATTTTACCATAAGCAATAAACCATTCCAAGTCTTCCAAGCCTGCTAGACAGTCTCCATAGCCGCACCAGCGTGGCAATAAGCTTTAACCAAACAAAACAAAAACAAACAAAAACACTTTGCAATTTGTTGCTGCAAAATAGGGAGAGAAAAGAGTGTATAAACTTGATGGAATCACAACAGTCAATATAATTTAAGGGAGAATAAAGTCAGTAAGGTTGATGGTGTTTATTGTTTAGAAAGTCGAATTCTGCTGTTTGCTTGGGGCTCTTGGACACCGTGCCACTGAACAAATGGACAACTCCGCAGAGTCTCACTCTCTGCCAGCGTGGGTGCTGTCCAGACTCACGGCAAATAAATGGCATTCGGTGCTCACCATCCACAACAGGAGGGCGTTTTATTTTCATGTATGAGGATGAAATACAATTTCTTCAGCAAACTCAGCAAAAACCGTTAAGGGGCAAAAAATAAGTCTGCACTTAAAGAAAAACAGAAAATGAAAAAACACAAAATCCTAAAAAGTAAATAAATGCCCCTCATCAGCACACTGGTATCAAAACACACATCCACAGCATGTCTTACTCCTACGTGAAACAATCCTTGCTTATCGGAGGTGCATATCTAAATTCAACGGCTTACCAATATCTTCTTAGGAGTAGGCCAAAAGGAAACAGAAAACCCACATTAAAAAAAAAAAGTTTCTTTTCCCTAAACGTTTTCTTGAAGCTGAATGTGAAGTGGAGAGGACGTCAGTCATCCTCGTTGTTCTCGTTGAAGTCGTCATCCTCGTCATTCTCCCGGACGCAGGACACCGTACTGAGGTTGGAGCTTGTGGCCAGCATCCCATCTGCACCGTTGGTCAGGTCACTGGCAGAGAGTTTCGTGCCGTTAGACATGGAACGTGCCGTCGTGATGAACACGCCTCCAACAGTTAGTTCCCTGAGCCATTTCTGTCACGTACAGCTCCAGGGCCTCTGAGACCAGACTTCTGGCCATTTTAAGGTCTTCGGCAGAGCAGCTTCCGGACTCCAGCCCACAAGCCGTGCTCATCCGCTTCAGCACTTCTATGTCATCCTATATTTCAGATGTGTTGTCAAATTTAAACAGATACTCGAGTTTGTCGTTGGAGATGTTGCAGTCGATGACGGTCTTCTTGCTGGTGTTAATGATGATGAGGGCAGGTGGATGAGCGAGCTGGGCGTCCTTGGCCGGCTGGCCTGCTGCTCCTCTTGCTGGTTTCTCTCTTCACCAGATTCTTGAAGGCAATTTGCTGTCGAATAAAAAACCTGAAATTGAGATTTTCTGTTTTATTCTGTCAAGTCTCCTCCGTCTTTCCACCTCTAAGTTCTGACATTCCTGAGTCGAGTTGGTGGGCAGACCAACCCACTTGATCTCCTTTTTCTCCTTGGAGATGATGTTCATGGCCATCAGCACGTTTAAGGCATCATAGATGCGCCGTCTTATTCTGGTCATAAGCTGACTCACTTGGTAAGATCTGGTTGCCGGCAGCACTGAACTCTGCGACCAGCTCTTCCACCACTTCGTGGTAGGAAGTGGTCCCTTTCCACTGCACCTTGTCTCAGACCTTCATGGAGAAATGCCACAGGCCTTGCTATTCTTTTCTCCTTTCCTGTTGCGCTTCGCGGCAGACCAACCACGGCTGGTTCTGAGAGGTAAAGTGAGTGCTGGCTGTGTGTGGGCTTCCTACCACGAGGATATTTGACGCTGCCGGTTTCTGAGGTGTACCGGTTACCACTTGCTGGGCAATGTTGACATTGAACTGTACAAAGGTTTTCGGCAAGAGCTGCTTCCCGAGCGGGTTGACAATGGAGGAGTGAACTGTCACAAGGGACACCAACGCCTTTTCCCGGACTAAGGTTCTGATCTATGAAGACCTTGAGTTCTCCGTTGGCTTCAATTAGACCGGCAACTTTTGCCATGTTACCAGATCTGGGAAATCAATGCTGTAAACGATCACCCTCCCGGAGAAGAAAAATAATGTTTCTGGGCGCAGCCCCTGCGTCCCGGAGCAACATGCAGACTCGCGGGACCACCCCAGACCCCGGCGGCGCCGGCCCAGCTGACAGGTAACTCTAACAAGTGGGCTTCCGGGATCCAAGTTGCGCGCCTGTCGCTAGGCCTCCGGCCGCCTCTGCACGTCTCCCGCGCGCGCCGGAACCAGGTACCCACAGGCCGCCGTGGGGTGGCCTCTCCTCCCCCACCCTCTGCGCTCCGGCCAACCCTGGCCCTGGCCTCTACCCCCAGTCCGGCGCGGGCGCGGGCGCTGCTGTCAGCCGGAAGGGCCCAGCCCGGGACCCTCTACCAGCGGCACCTGGCTGCCGGGGCCCGGCCGCGTGGGCGGGGGAAGTGGCGGCGCTGAGAGGCGCAGGCTGGGGTAGGGCGGGGCTGTCCAGGTGGTCCCGGCCGTGGAGAGGTCCCTCTGGGCACGGGGACCTCTATGTTTATTTTTTTATGCCAGTACCATGCTGTTTTGGCTACTATAACTTTATAGAACATTTTGAAGTCTGGTAGTGTGATGCTTCCAACTTTGTTCTTTTTACTTAAGAATGCTTTGGCTATTATGGGTCTTTTTTGGCTACGTATTAGTTTTCGGATTATTGTTTCTATTTCTGTGAGGAATATTACTGATACTTTGCTAGGGATTGCATTGAATCTGTAGAACACTGAGTAATATGAACATTTAACAATATTGATTCTTCCAATATGTAAAGATGGAATATCTTTTCCCTTTTTTGTGTGTCCCCTTCAATTTCTTTCATTGGTGTTTTATAGTTTTCATTCTAGAGATTTTTCACCTCTTTGGTTGGGTTGATTCATACTTCTTTTTCATAGCTATTGTACATTCTTGGTTTTCTTTTTCAGATTGTTCACTGTTGACATATAGGAAGCTATTGATATTTGTGTGTTGATTTTTTATCTTGCAGTTTTACTGAATTTGTTTATCTGTTATGAGAGATTTTTGATTGAGTCTTTAGGTTTGTCCATATATAAGATAATATAATCTTCAATCAAGAATAATTTGACTTTATTATTTCCAGCTTATATGCCCTTTATGTCTTTTTCTTATCCAATTGCTCTGGCTAGGACTTACAGTACTATGTTGAAAAAAAGTAGTGAAAGTGGGCATTCTTGGTTTGTTCTGGATCTCAGGTTTTCCCAGTTCGGTATGATACTAAACTAATTGCACCTGGTAAGAGAAGGTCTACCGTGGTTGTGGCCAGTTGAAACAGGACTGATTTGGTTGGAACTGGCCATAATCAGTCTGAACTGGCATAAACCAATTGTAGCCAGACAAAGCTGGATAAAACTGGTTGAGGCCAGCCATAGCCAGTGTAAAGTGGCTGTGGCAGTAATAACTGGTCTAAACCAGTTGTGACCAGGTGTAATTGGTCTAAGCCTATCAGAACCAGCCATAACCTGGCAGAACTGGTATGAACTGGTTAAGGATGGCCCAACCAGCCAAAACCAATTACAGATGGTCAGAACCAGTCTAAACTGGTTGTGGCCTGTCATAGCTATGCAAAACTAGTTTTGGCCAGTTGAAAACTGACTTAAACTTATTGCAACTGGTCATATTCAGTCTAAAGGGCATTCAAATGGAAAATAAGAAAGTCAAATCATCTTTGAAGATGATGTGATCTTCTGTATGGAAAAACCTTAAGACTTCATCAGAAAACTCTTATAACAGATAAACAGTTCAGTAAAGTTGCAGGACACAAGATCAACATACAAAATCAATAGCCTTGTTACATGCTAACAGTGAACAACCTGAAAAACCCAGAAAGTGTGCTAATGTACAATAGCTACAAAAAAATAGTAGGAAAAACAACTGAAGAAGTGAAAGATCTCTGGAATGAAAACTATTAAATACCAATGAATGAAATTGAAGAGGACACACACAAAAGGGAAAGATATTCCATGTTTGTAGATTGGAAGGATTGAGGGGACACCAAGAATGGGGACATGGTGGAGAAACAAACAAGACAGCCCAAAGGCAAACTTTGCTGGCTGTGCATTTTTGCTACAAGCTGTCTTCAGAGATGTAGACATGGAGTTGGCGAGAGTTGAGGGGATATAGAAGGAAATTGGTGAGAATGACAGATATAATTCATCTGGAAAATAAATGCCTGGGGTATTTTCTGAAAGGCATGCAGGTGAGAAATATGTGACTAAGAGATGGCTTGTTCCAGCAAGTACCCTATGGTGTCTGGCTGTACCCTGAAGTCAAAAGCAGAGTTATTTGATCATATGACATCTGTGGGGTGATGGTAACTGTTAGCTTTAAGTAGACAGAGAATCTGTGCTGGGGCAGGTGTGTTTGTGCATGGAGGGCAGATGAGGATTGAGAGAGAGGAGTCGTGTATAATAAGTCCTAAAGGAGAGAGAATGCAGCTAAACAACTCAATAACTCTGTCCTAGTTTTAGCTCCATCAGTGCAAGGACAAAGCATCGACATTAGCCTTCAATACAGTTTATTTGTTGCTATCTAAATTCCAATTTTTTTTTGTCAAGTTGGTCCATTTGCATGCAAGGTTGCTAGCTCTAATCTACTCTGATAATGACTTGGGTAAGCAGGTTGAAAATGTCTTACTCCTCCCTAAAGGCTCACTATGTAGAAAGGAAGGAGAGTAAAGCAACCTTTTCATAATTAAACAAGGAAGAAAATTACATCACGTTTTTATACTTTTCATTTTTTTTTTTTTTACCACTCACAACTTTGGATGCTGAACTAGGGTTGGCAGGAACATGGACTGGAGAAGATGGGTGACATGTTTCTTGGAATTCGAACTTCTCTTTATCACGAAGCCTTAGTAATGCTGCCCAGCCAATTTCTGCATTAAACAAACACAAATTGAAGGAGAGGAACATTATTTAATCTCCCCATGGCCAATATCCATTAATAACCTAGATTTTCCTGAACCTAAATCTTTTATACAGCTCATTCATCATCTTCCTTTTTTTTAAATGGATTCTTCTCTAAGATTTATTCTCAAAGATACTTAATTCTTTCAACTAACTGATGAGATCGTGAGCTATGACATGGCTGAAATTTTATATTTTCCTTGTAAGAATTGAACGCCACTCCTTTCAATTCCAACCCATTTCATTTAGTTCTGTTCTCTGCTGTCCCATTTTCCCTCTTGTTGCATTCTAGAAATCACCAGAGTCAGATCTTGAACTTAATACCCACTTTGAATGCCTAGATCAAGACTCCATTTTGATGGTCTGGGTTAAAACTCTGTAAGTGCTTAATTCCTTTAACCATCCCATTATCAACCTTTTCCCCCATCCCTTTCAGACACTAAACATAGAATAAATGGGATGCATTTACTTAAACGGCCAGGAACTTTGTGAATGGCCAGCCAGCGTTGGGGCATCACCAGAAGGAATTAATAGAAAGGAAAGCCAGCCCAAGGGGAAATTTTAAATAGGTGAAGTTTATTTAAATTCACTTAATCTCTCTTTTCCTTAACACCTTTCTTCTTAGGGCTCCTTAATTAACTTCCCCCTTTCTCTTTTCTAGCCCTACAGAGTGTTCCTGCTACTTTCTGGCTATCCTAGACTATGTATATATATCTGCCTTGCACAGCACCACCATGGTTGCCTGACCCCTCTTTCTCATTCAGATACATATCGTCACAGACCTTGCTCTCTAGTGTCCTAAGTAAACCCTAGTTAGCTGATAAGCTCAACTGTGCCGGAGAAGGTTAATATGGTGTTTTCTCCTTCAGATTTTGAATTTCAAAAGGAGACTTCAGAATTGATTTAACCCAAAGGAATGCATATCTTTTGGTGGAATTCTAGGTGCCTTGGTAGAAAATTTTTGAGATGAGTGGCCCTATTGCTCAGATGCCACCATGTATATCATTTTCTATGTTGTCTCTAATTAAATTCAGTTCTGCCTCCAGGACTGTAATGGAGAAATTTTAGATAGGTATGCTTTCTAAGTGAATTACTGACTTTATTCATTTATGCAAACCACACCATTTGTTCATTTAATAGAGATTTACTGAGCATCTACTGTATTGCAAGTTGTGAGAGGTGCCTTGGATATACCTGATGCGTAAGACAGTATGGCAGTAGTAAAATCTGAACAACCAGAGTTCACTTCCTGGCTTCCTCTAGGGAAGGAATAGTTGCCAAACCTGTCCCATTCATCATAAAAAAAAAAAAAAAAAAAAAAAAAGGATGAAGAATATATATCACACACTTGAACTTAATCCATGCAGTTCGCTTACTGTGGTTCACGAAGAAAGGGTTTGGAAAAACAAGATAAATACTTCAGTCAGGGCACGCTGGCTGCTGAAGCGTATTTAAAAATCAAATTACCATTTTAATGGTATGTATCGTTTCCATATCAAATGATGACATTATTGGCAAAGACTAGAAGGTGACACAATTTTGAGTGCTTAAACTGTCCCAACAATAGATGAAGCTATCTTAAAAGGACTACAAAGCCACTCCACCATCTGGCACCCTCTCTCGCCATCCTGGTATGGATGGGGAAAAAGAACGCTTCCAAGTGGTGAAATGAAATGAAATTGGCTTGCCCTGAGGATGCACGTTGAGGAGGGCCTGTTCGGCCATCTGACATTCTTCTTACTGTAACTGCATAAAGGGATGGCTTCCCAAGCAACAGTCTTATAAACAAACTATTTTTTATTATTACAAGTAGACAAGTTTACTACAGGTTTATTGTAGAAAGCACAGCAGAACACAAAGCAAAAAAACAGAAGTCATTCATAAAACGTGGAAATAGCTAATATTGATATTTCAGTGTATATCCTTCCAGTCTTTAAAATTTCCTGTGTGCATTCGTGTGTGTATGTTTATGTGTGTATGTGTGTGTTTTCAAAGCAAAAATGAAATCAAACTGTATTATTTTCCATTTAACACAGGCTGACTTCATGAGCATGTGGCCTGTGCTTGGTTTAATGATCTGCTGTTGCCATCATGAAATACTTAATTTTATCTTTGAACCTGTGTGTTGTAAGTGAAGTCCAATGGGAGTGGAGGAGATGCATGCAATATGGGTGGCTCCTGTTCTTGATGCCTC